CCATGGATTTCTCCCCTGCGCCTGCTGCTGCCATCTTCTTGCATTGGAGACTTCGTCTCTTCTGGGCTGCCTCCTCTTAGACACCTCTGTATTTTCTTTCCCAGCGCCCACAGCATCTCCCCAAGCTGTGAAATGAGGCCACACTCTTGTCTTCCTTGTTAAGACTTGATCGCTTTTGCTTCCATGTCTGCAGGGACTTGTTGAGCGCAGCAAGGCAGAGGACCAGGAGGGACTTAATGAGTCTCTTATTAACCAAGATCTTACTGTCTATTTGCTTGCCTTCTCCCTGCTCCTCGTTATGTGTCGCACTGGCCGCTTGCGTATTGTTTGGGTTATACCACAAAGGGTCTGGGGAAAAGCTGCTTTTTGTTGTATGTTTGTGCAGAGTGGCCTGATCCTGGCTCCAGATGCTGAGCTGGTAAAGCACATGGAGCACCAGGATGGGGCTGAGACCCAGAGGAACTGCCCAGAGAGAGGGGACAGCAAAAGCACCAAGGGTTGGGGAGAGATGTCCCCACCTGCTCCTTGCCCCATGCTGTTGTAGGTATTTGCAGCAGTCCAATTTGTGCACACAAGTCTCTTCTTTTTTTTCATCCTCCAAGCTGCTGAGGTCCCTTTGACACCAAATACACAAGGAAGTATCTGCAGCCAGGGTGAAGCTGGTGCCAGTCCTGCTTATCTCCCTGGCACCTCCGCTCCAGGAGCTGAGCAGCTCCTGGATCCACTGCAGGGCTTTTATCATGGGAAGAACTTATCCTATGCATGGGAATAAAAGAGGTTTTTTTTTTAGTTCCAGGGCTGTGGGGAATGCGTTTGCCAACAACTTGGAGAGGAGATCTTGCTGTGCGTGGCTGCCACGTGGCTGGTGGGGAAAGCCTGAGCAGGAGAGAAGTTAAACCTGCGTTTAGAACAAATTCCCTCCCCTCTTTAGGGTTGTTCCTTTGAAACTCTGTCTGCTTTGCAGGGACACTAAAGAGCTCTGCTGCCCCGGGGACAGCTTTTGCTGGGGGCTGTGCCCAGCCAGCAGCCCACGTGGCAGCTTTTTGTGCAGAGGACACTGGTGTTTTTGCAATCAGAGTTTTACAGGGATGCAAGATGAGAGCTGTTTTATTGCCAAGGCTTCAGGTAGATCCTTTAAACAAGTTGCATCTCAGCCTCAGCAACAGAAATAAGGACGGTGCTATCCCTACGGGAAGAAGTCAGGATCTATGCAAGGAAAACGCCCGGGAAGGGCAGAGGCAGGGGATGGGGGTTTCCAGGGGCTCCTTTTCTCCAGGACCCCCCACTGTGGGTTTCACTGGGAGACTCACTGACCTGTGTTTTGCTTTCAGGGAACGGCCTCGCATCCGTCTCTCCACCTTGGACATGGCCAGGCTGCAGGGGCTGCCGGACGGCACGCTGGGCCGAGAGTACGTCCGATTCTTGGAGGACAACGTGAGTGTGGGGCTTTGCAGGGTGCGAACGGCTGTAATTGATCCTTGTGCTGGGAGCACGGATGTGCTTTAGAAGGAGATTGGAGCCATGGAGGAATCTGTGGGGAACCCTCTGGGAGTGAGAGGTTCAGGGGGGGCGGGATGAGATGCTGGGTGTTGGATGATTTGTCACCAGTGCTGCAGGGTCCTTGGTTTCCATCTCTATAAATGATGTCGACCCCCATTATTGGCGGCTGGGAGATGGGCTGATGGAGGTGACCACATATTGCTGTGCATTAAAGAATGAGGCCAGAAGCTTGAGGTTTGGAGGGGGATGAATTTGGCCTCTCTGGATTTGCAGAAGGTTTCTCCAGACACCCGGATGCCGCCTAAGTTTGTTGATGATGAAGAGCTGGCGTACGTGATCCAGCGGTACCGAGAAGTCCATGACCTGATGCACACCCTCCTGGGCATGCCAACCAACATGCTCGGTGAGCAGCAGCGGGCTCAGAGGGCTGCGTGGCCAAACCCCAAACCCCACTGATGGCGCTTGGCTGCCTCTCCCAGGAATGGAGCGGGCTGGGCCGGTCAGACTCCACGATCCTCAGCCTGGGGAGGTGTGCGGGGAGGGTTTGCATCATCACTGTCCCGCACCGCTGGCTCTGTGGTGACCAAGAGGTTGCGGGATGTCACCTTTCCCTTGCTGGCAGATGCTCTGGCCCAGCCCTGGGTGCAGGCAGCTGCTGGGCGAGTGGGTGGGTGTTTGCTGCCTGGCACTGAGGGAGAGGTGTTTCACAAGCTCTGAGCAAAGGCAGAAGTGGGGGATTCCTGGTTGCTCCTTATCTGTGCGTCCCTGTGTCCTTTGCCCTCGTTTTGTGTCTGACTCAATAGCAAGTGGCAAGTCGAGCCTTGCTGGTGAGCCTGCGGGAACCGGCATGTCAGGTCTCCTACGCAGGCTTTGGCTGAGCCCTGGTGGCATTTGTAAAAGGTCTGTCCCTTGCTGAGTGACAGGGAGAGCTGTGCGGGCATCAGGCTTCAGCAAGTGCTTTGCTAAACATCTGCAGGGCCCCAGCTTGTCGAGGAGGTGTTTCCCAAGCTCATGGGACACTGACTGCAGGGTGCTGCTCCCCTGGGGACCCCAGGCCGTCCCTCTTGGGTGGGTGGTGCACGACAAGGCTCGTCCTGGCACAGGATGAGGACACAGCCAGGCTTGGGAGGCACTCCCAAGTCCTGCTGCGGAGGCGGAGGGGATGGGTGCATAGCCATCCTCGGGAAGGGGCAGGTTGTGCAGCCTGCGTTGCAGGACCACGTGGCCCTGGCTAGCCCTCGACCCGGGCGCCCTGCCCGCTCACAGCCTCTCTGCTCCCTCCCAGGCGAGGTCGTGGTGAAGTGGTTCGAAGCCATCCAGACGGGGTTGCCCATGTGTGTCCTGGGAGCAGCGTTCGGCCCCATCCATCTCAGCGCACGGTAGGCGCCGGCCGATGAGGAGGGAATCTCTGCCCTGGGGACGCACCAGCCTGGGTGATGCTTTCTGGTGTCCTCTGGGGACAAAGAGGGGACACTGCTAGTTTGCAGGGGGAAGTGAAACGGGGATCCCTCGTGTGAACCGTCTGCTTTGCCCCATGGCCCAGGGAAGTGGTGATGGCGGGAGCACGGCTTTGCCTGACCACTGAAGCAGAACCTGATGTTTCATCTGCTTCCAGCGCTGACTTTCCCATGCCAGGCAGGGAGAGCGAAGCCCAGGCCTGGCTGCCCTTGACTGGGCACGTGTTGAGAGCCATCAGGACCCTTACCATACTGGCGGCCATTCCCTGCCCCAGCACATCTGTTTTGGTGGCCCAGTTTGGGGAGTGCAGAACCTGAGGTCTGGTATTGGGTTTGCTGCTGACTGTAACTTTCCCGGCACACCATCCTCTTCTGTGCCTCAGTTTCCCCTGTGAGATAAGCAGGAGGGATGCTAGAAGGGTGGAGGGGTACATGGGGCACATGGGTTTGGCATCTGCCTGCAATGGGGAGTTGGAAATAAAAAATGAAATGTAGAAATCAAACCTGTCACCTCCTGTATCGTTTTTTCCAGAAAGCTGCAGGTCCTGGCCACCGAGCTGGTCCCCTGGGCGATTCGGAGTGGGCGCAACGCCAGCTGTATCCTGAACATCTACTACGAGCAGCGCTGGGAGCAGCCAGTGGAGTCCCTGCGAGAGGAGATTGGCATCTTCCCTCCCCCGGCTGTTCGGGTGTGAGAGCTCAAGTACGGGGAGGGGACAGGGGAACCCCGCTGGCAGGCAGCAGCCGTCCCCGCCACGCTCCATCTCCTCCTGCCTGGGAGCGCAGCGTGGCTCTGCTACCAGCCGCCACCAACCCAGGGACTGAGTTTTCTCTTGCCAAGAACAGGTACCCTCTTGTTGGTAGAGGCCAAGTGGCACCTCCCTGTACTGTGGTATTGCTGTTTGGGATGCAGTGGAGGGACGGCAAGTCCCACTGTGCCTTTGCCAGCTGGGTCTGGCTCCTGGCTCCAGTACTGATGCTCCGAAATGCTGGGATGGAGAGGGAGCAGAGCTGGTTTACAACACACCAGAGCAAACTTGGCCTTCTGCAGCTCTAGGGCTGTGTAAGTAAATCCCTCCTCCCACCCTCCCTGGGACGATCAAGGCTTAAAGTCTTGGCACCACCCTGGACTGGAGCTAAACCAGTGATTTACAGTGCAGCCCAAGGGCAGGTTTCATGTGTGCAACAGTGAAATCCCGTCTTGTACTGGTGCCTAACTGGTCTCCTGATGGGTCATATGGGATGTGCCTCACGCCTTGGGGACCAGGCGGCGCGCAATTGCATGCCTATGGAAGCAGACAGGGAAATACCTTTGGATATTATGCCTGCTGGATTGGCTGTTTGAGAGCTGATCCTAGGCTGCCGTGCCTCTCTGTAGTCCCTCGCCACCAAAAATGCTGAAATCTGCGTGGCTGCCCTGGGTTTTCAATAGGAATTGTCCCCTCCTTGGGCAACAAAATGACTTGATTGGGAATAAGAGGCTGAATCCTGGGAGCACAGAAACAGCGGCTGCTTGTGCTGCATCTGGGAGCTGATTGCTGTCTGGGTTAATTAAACAGAGCTCCAGACTGCCAGTGGCTGGAGAGCAGAGCTGTCGGATGTGAGGGCAGAGAGTCACCAGGCCAGGGGCTCTTTGTACGTGTGGGTTTGCTGTTGAAATTCCTTCTTGCTTAATAAAATCCATGGTGGAGCTTGTGATTCATTACCCCTCTCCTTCCGCCCCATCTCCCCTTCTGAGGGCGAGATCTGACCTGAAACCTTCACCCCTTTTTGGCTCCAGTGGGGTCTACTGTTGTCTGCCTGTGGTGGTAGGTGATGGCAGGGCACGCACATGGTCGCACGTCCCTGGGGACCAGGGCACAAAGCAGGCTGGGGGGCCACATCTTTCCAGCTGGGATTTGGGGATGCTGGGCTGTCCGGTGGCTCCTTGTGGTCGTTGTTGCAGAAGGGCTCAGACAGAGGAGGATTGGGGTGGGGGCCAAGGCTGGGGGCTTCCTGATGTGATCCTGGTTCCTAGGGGAGGGAGGGGGTCCTTTGGTGGCCCCGGGGGGCAGTTGTGGAGCCGGGGGACATGTCTTTGCTCTACTGTGAGCTTCACTGGCCCTGTCCTAGTCTCTTCCGGGATGCTAGAATGGACAGGCAAGAGCAGGGGCTGACGGTGAGGATGGGGGTCAGAGTTGCTCCATCCCAGGAGGCTGAGCAGGGGCAAAACTCTTGGGTTTTGGGCTCCATTCAAGAGCAGACACCAGGGCAGAGGGACTGGCTTCCTTCCAGCTTCCCCTGACTCCCCACATTCAACTTCTACCTCTACTCCATCCCCCACCAGCCAGACTTCGGGTTTTTCTTCCAAACTGGGAGGAATCCTATAAATATATCTTTCAGCTGCCATAAATAACACAGAGTGGAGGTTGTCCTATTGCACTGGTCAAGATGAAAGAAACGTTTGGCCCTAAAATGACCCAGAAATGTGCTTTTCTGCATCGGAAATGTGTCTGAGCTTTGGGGCGGTTAAACGGAAGGGAAGCAAGGATTTGCCACGTCCAGAACCCATGAGCAGCTGTCAAAGAAATGTGGGAAATGATGGTCGTGAGAGAGGGTTTCGCTGCACTTTGGGTTATTTAGCGTGGCCATGCAGCGCTGGGGCTGCCGGCGGTGGTTGTGCCTCCTTCACGCAGCCGTGTGTTGCTTGGTGGGTTGGTGCCAGCACTACAGGAATGGCACGTAACGTAATTTTAAGCTGCATCTGCTCAGCGAGATCGCTTACCGGCCACTGCGGCTCCTGTTCGCTGTCGCTTGTCGAGCCTGAGTAAAGCAGTGGCAGCAGAGACAAACCATGCGAAAATGCATTTTTTGGGGGGACTTATTCACTGCGGGCAAGTGGCAGCTCCACCACCGCCACCAGCAGCGGTCCGTGCCCGTACCTGTGCTGCTGGGGCCGTTTGATGGTCGTGAGAGAGGGTTTCGCTGCACTTTGGGTTATTTAGCGTGGCCATGCAGCGCTGGGGCTGCCGGCGGTGGTTGTGCCTCCTTCACGCAGCCGTGTGTTGCTTGGTGGGTTGGTGCCAGCACTACAGGAATGGCACGTAACGTAATTTT